CATATAAGGTTTGATTGGGAATTTTATATATTCTGGAAGCTTTGTAAACAGATAAAGTACCATCGCGAATTTCTTTTAAAGCCTTTTCTAGGGTTTCAGGCGAATATTTATTTGAAGCCATCGGTACTTTGAAAAACTAAAAAAAATATTTAAAAGTTATACATTTATACATAAAATTTATATTATTGATATTGATATTGATATTGATTATAATTTTAACAATTGACTATGCTACTAGATCGCTACTGCATTCAAAAATACCATCGGTACCATTTTATTCAAGTTATCGCAACTAATTATTAATTAAATAATCTATGACGTATCTTTGCTTTATTAATATACAGGCAATGCCCATATAACGGTCAAGTACGTTGCAAAAATTAAGCAAATCAAAACTACCGTATTTACGAATATGTCCCTAATTCGCTGCATACATACACACATACCCGCACACTAGTGATTCGTGCTCTATAAATATCGTGCGTCATTGATAGAAAACAAGTGCACTACGGGTTTTCCCCTATTTCTATAAGCTTTGACATTACACAAATGATTTATCGTAGATGAAATAAAAGAAACATCTGATTCTCTCATTACTACCATATTTTATGTATATGGGAATAATGGAAATAAGTAAAAAAATCATATATTTTCTTGCTAAAGAGTAGTAATTTCAAACTCAATTATTAGGGTTAAAAATAAAAAAAAACATATACCGTAATTAGGTCACAATATTCTGTGGTCATTACCAAACTTAGTAACACCAAAAACACCACTAAATTTAAGCATAATTGAGAATAAAGGACTAAAATAATTCAGGTCTACTTCTCCTAATTGCGTGACACTCACGGATTACGTTCAATGCCTCAATTGTGTGAACTTAATTACGGGAGTCACAAAATTGACACTTTCTTAAACATATTTGCTCGATTTAACTATAAAACTTATCACTTATTAATTCTTAACAATAATATCACAAATTTATATTGAATAAGCTTACCAGTGTCACATAAAAATCTTAAGCAATTGTAGCGTCACATTAACCTAACTAACAACAGGACTGTACGTAATGGCGATCGGGTTATGACTGATGCGTTCAGAAGCTCTCTATGGTTTTAAAAACTAATATTTAAAATGGAAAATCGTGCTTATTTGATGAGATTCGAATTATAGTTTATGTGGTATTGTTTAAAATTATTATTCACCGACTATTTTTTTATTTTGCGATCAAAATGAAAAACTCCCGTAATAATGTACTATCCCGGAATAGTGTACGTTTACAGGTAAACGTACCATATTACGGGATGATAAGGAACGTTTGACTTTAAAGACGAATTTTAGAGAAACTAGGAAAGTGGACGAACTAAATCTGTTATATTTTATTAATTAGACTTTTAAGATTATTATAAAACAAGATTTTTCGTCGTAGAGTGCTGAACCACGCGTTTGTCCCTAATTCCGTGATAAAATTCGGCTCGTGAATATAATGCCGGGAGTCGTTGTACGTTATTCCGTGATAGCGCACGATGCTTACATTTTTGATCGTATTGCCTTGATAAATATAGTTATAAAAAGGGTTATAAAGTGCGGTTAATTTATAAAAGTCATAAAATTATAAGAAGCTAAAAAACTTCTAAAATAAAAATAAAATAAAAGCTGTATTATTATAGTAATAGCAGTATAATTATCATTATCAATACTGTTTCGGTAAATCAAATAAATGAAACAATAAAGGAATAATTTTTAACGGCAATTAAACAAAAATATAAACTTAAATAAATATAAAATTTAAACTCAAAGTAAAAAAATTAAACTTGTAATGAAAGTTACAATTCTGTCAACAAACATAAATCTTTAAAGACTTACAATAATCTTTAAAGACTTTCAAGTTAACAATAACTACTAGCTCAAATTAGGTTTGATTGGGAATTTTGTATGTTTTACAAGCTTTAAAATACATTTAATATAATATGGCAAATTTCTTTTAAAGCCTTTTTTCGGGGTTTTGGGTGAATATTTAATTGGAGCCATCGTTCTTTGAAAAACTAAAAGTCCGATTTGAAATCATACCCAAATAAATTTACTGATCTTGAATATAATTTTAATAATATTTAATAGATTGTATTAGACTATTAGAAAGTTACTGCATTTAAGTGTAGCCTCGGCATCTTATTTTCGAGTAATTGCAATTCATATTAATTTAATAACTTACGATGTATGTTTGTTTTAATAATATGCAGGTTATATAATGGTTATATTCCAAAAGCTTAATCGGATTAAAACTATCGTGTTAACAGGAATGTCCCTAGATATCTCTGCATACATACATACATACCAGCGCCCTAGTAAATCCGCGCCCTATAAGTACCGGCGCTATACGGGGTATAACCTGTATTTTTATTCAATTTATATAATAGAAATAATTGATCATAGATGAAAAGGTAGAAATAAATGAACTCTCATTACTACAATATTCTAGGTATATTGGAACAATGCAAATAAGTGAAAAAAATCAATCATGTACTTTCTTACTGAAGAGTAGTCATTTCAAACTCAATTATTAGGGTTAAAAAATAAAAAAAAAACATATACCGTAATTACGTTACAGTATTCTGTAGTCATTAACAAACTTAATAACACCAGAAAACACCGCCGAATTTAAGCACAGTTGATGAAAATAAAAATGAAACTATTTCAAGTCTGCTTCTCGTAATTGCGGGATACTCACGGAATTAGGTTCACTGGTTCAGTTGTGTGAACCCAATTACGGGAGTCATGAAATTGATAATTTCTAGACAAATATATGCTCGATTTAACTATAAAACTAATTTCTTATTATTACTGATCAAAAATTTCACACATTTGAATCGATTAAGCTTATCGGAATCAAATAAAAACCTTAAGCAATGGAACCGTCACATAACGTAACTCGCTAACAAGCCAGTACGAAATGGCGATCGGGTTACGACTAATGCTTTCAAAACTTTTTACGGCTTAAAAACTAATATTTGAATTCGAAAATCGTACTATTTTATTAGGATTCAAATTATAATTGATGTGAGGTGAATAAATAAAATTATTTTATTGACCGTTTTCTTATTTTGCGATCAAAATGAAAAACTCCGTAATAATGTACTATCCCGGGAATAGTGTACGTTTACCTTATACCTTTATACGTACCTTTTATTTTTTTAAATAGATTTTTTTCATGAAATCATGAGCTTTTTGGAAATCGTTTGCACTAAAGTATTGGTAATTCTAGAATCCGTCAAGATCTCTAAACCAAGTGATTCTAGATGGAATACGATTATTTTTAATTTGGTGGAAATGGCACTCAAAAACTATTTGTTTTATATGAAAAAAATATTGTATGCGTCTTTTATCTGCATGATAGCTTACTCATTTTACACGCAGAAGTACTCATTTTAGCTTATTTTGAGTACTATAAAACCCCATTTTCATATCTAGCCTAATATTGTTTCTAGAACAATTTATAGAACTCCGATTTATTAGGAGTTTAATTGATATAATTTGTTCATTACATGATTTTCGTTAGAATGTATATTTTTAGAATTATTTGCAAAAAACGATGAAAAACGCAAAAAAACAACAAATTTTCAGTAGCCAGTAACTTGAAAAGTAATTTCTTTTTTGAAAAACATTATTAAACATTTTTCTCATCTAATTAGTTCTTTTATCGATATCCGAAGTTAGTTTGAAAGAGATACAATTGCACCACTAAAAAGGGATGTCATCCCCCGGAAAGTGGCAAATGATTCTAAATTATTTTTACTTTCAAACTTGAGAGTAAGATGAACCTAATTCCAAAATTTCATGCAAATTGGAGCACATTAAAATATTCAGACCCAAAATGCTCCATGTCTTGAGTAAATATTTTGTATCCAATGCCAAACATATGAATTTTTGACACAATGAAACTTCTAAAATAATTGTTTGAATAAGTAAATTATTTTTGTATCGTGATTTAGTAAAGTAAGGCAAAACGCGACTGCATTTAAAAGTTAAAAAAAAATAATCAGCCCAAAGTGACTTATAGGCTAAGTTTTGATGTGCGCATGCACAGACTGCATCACCTGTCAGATGTCGACTGTAAATCTTATAATAATTTTAATTTTTGGCACATCTCAGTTGCTTTTCGGCAATTAATAATCTAGTCATTTACATTTTTCTTACTCATAATCATAAATATATTATATTTTATTTTTACTTTCAAACTTGAGAGTAAGATGAACCTAATTCCAAAATTTCATGCAAATTGGAGCACATTAAAAATATTCAGACCCAAAATGCTCCATTGTCTTGAGTAAATATTTCGTATCCAATGCCAAACATATGAATTTTTGACACAATGAAACTTCTAAATAATTGTTTGAATAAGTAAATTATTTTTGTATCGTGATTTAGTAAAGTAAGGCAAAACGCGACTGCATTTAAAAGTTAAAAAATAATAATCAGCCAAAGTGACTTATAGGCTAAGTTTGATGTGCGCATGCACAGACTGCATCACCTGTCAGATGTCGACTGTAAATCTTATATAATTTTAATTTTTGGCACATCTCAGTTGCTTTTCGGCAATAATAATCTAGTCATTACATTTTTCTTACTCATAATCATAAATATATTATATTTTAATATTGTCTTAGCCTATAAGTGAATGGGACATGTTTGCCAAAGGACAGTCTTCATTTGTTTTAATGTCAAACTATGCCTTAAATATTTTCAAGGGCAAACAATGATAAGCAGTTTTTTGTATTTTTTTTTCATTTATTTCTACAATCTAACTATATTTCTATGAATCTGAAAATTCTAGAAAATTTTCCGAACAAACTACAAGAAGATTCAGGAAAATCCGAATTATAGTTTAGGAGGATTAGACATTCATACATAGTTACAGAAGAATTTTATATATATATATATATATATATATATATATATATATAACAGAGATATTTTACATGAATATGGTTATATTATTCTAGAAACCAGATTCGACAAGAGAAATCAATATGGAATTTCTTGCAAATTTATCTGGTCCAGCACAAACATTTTGTATTTCATGGAATCGAATTTATGTAGGAACAAGGAATGGCATAATGGATGTATATGATATATCGGTAAGTGATATTTGTTACTTTTGGATTGGTTATATTGATAATGTATCGTCAGAGGCGTTTCTCATGTATTTTATATGTAAAATGATCTTGAAAACTTGACATACAATTTGATGACATCATCACTGGAAATTGAACTTAGTATTTTACATCTAAAAATGTGTACACATTACAGAATTTTGCATTAACATTGATACAACTAACCAGTCACTAACCATGAATTTTTTGTAAATAGGAAAAATAATGAGAGTTTTGTTTTACATAACTGTGGAAAAATTAAAGTATTTTAGCACAGAACGAAGACCATATAATAGCTATCGGTACCGAGGCCAGAATCAAGTTTCTAGCGCAAACTGCAAAAATTACGAAGGAACTTTTACCTTACCCTTTATAAACGATCTTTACTACGCATGGAAAAAGCTCTTCATTAAACATAATATTAAAGTAGTCTTTACCTCAGATAACACTCTTTCAACATTATTTACTAAATCAAAATTTAAATGTGATCCGAAAATTTGAAGTAATTTAGTATACTAATTGAATTGTCTAAATTGCCAAGGGTTTTACATTGACGAAACTAGCCAAAATCTACACAAAAGAATCTCTCAACACAGAAATAATTCAAAAAATAAGAATCAGAATAAAACAATGCTCACAGAACACATAAATAACCTTCAGCATAGCATTGATTTCCTAAACCCGAGTCTATTACATTTTGAAACCAATATATTTAAAAGAAGATTTAGTGAAGGTTGTCTAATATCGTTAAGTAATAAAGCAATGAACAAGGGACTTGACAGTTATTCGCTCTGTAATGATTACAATATATTTCTCGGTCAATTTTTAAACAACATTATTACTGAATTGAAGCGTGCCCATTTTTTATTACTTTCCGAAACCATATGTTTTTACCAGTTTGCACATTTTTTAATAAATCCTTGTAAACACAATCCATTCAGTGCTTAGACTTCAACAACTATATACACAAATTAAGTTTTTTATCTTTGATGTTTGAATGATTGAACTACTGATAGCTTGGTGTTACAATTGTTAATTAGTGTAGTGTAGTGTTAAATTGTTTTTGTCTGTAAGTAGCTATATTTAAGTTTAATATGTTTGTATCAATTTTTTTTCTGAATTAATTATAAAAAAAAACTTTCTAGTTTTCGACTGAATGACGGTCTCGATGAAGACTAAAACGTATGGATTGATAAAGCTGGCCTTAGTTTTTTTTTACTTGGTGATATTGCCCACCCAACTCACTCGTTCTAATATATATATATATATATATATATATATATATATATATATATATATATGATTTAGTAGTTAATTTTGACGTTGAAATATATGAGTGAGTTCTTGAGGGCGATACATCAAACAAAGAAAAGCCAAAGATTTATAAAATAATCTTTATTTCCAAACGTTTCGACATTCAATTTAATGTCATCATCAGTGGATATTACGTTGGTTGGTTACATATAGAGAAGTGTACACAGCACTAGAGATTGGCACTAACATTTATACAACTAACTTGTCAGCACTATGCATTTTTTATATAATTTTTTTGTATGATGTAAACAGAAAAATGATAGTTTTATTGAACAATAATGTAAGTATAATTATGTAATTTCTGCCACGACTTCTGTACTTTGCTAGTACCGAGGCATGTATACAAAGTACAGAAGTCGTGGCAGAAATTACATAATTCTACTTACATTATTGTTCAATAAAACTATCATTTTTCTGTTTACATCATACAAAAAAATTATATAAAAATGCATAGTGCTGACAAGTTAGTTGTATAAATGTTAGTGCCAATCTCTAGTGCTGTGTACACTTCTCTATATGTAACCAACCAACGTAATATCCACTGATGATGACATTAAATTGAATGTCGAAACGTTTGGAAATAAAGATTATTTTATAAATCTTTGGCTTTTCTTTGTTTGATGTATCTCCCTCAAGAACTCACTCATATATATATATATATATATATATATATATATATATATATATAACATGTCAAATCCTTCAATCATTTACACTGAAAAAAATTGTGACCTTAGAAAGATAGTTGAGTCTTTACTTATATCCCTTAACACTTCTTGCGTAAACAAACGTAATTCCTCTCATCTCTTACGTGACAGTTACAAAGTAATCATTAATTTCATGAAAAGTAATTCAATACAGTTTTAGAATATTTCGTTCGTATATTTCTTCTCTGTTTCTCTTTCCCCTTTCGTTTCTCGCAACTCTCTCCCACTCTTCCATTACACGTGCGTGTCTACACTGTGGTGTACTTTTAACCTTGAGCAGTGCGCACAATGCTATGCTATCAATAACATCAAATATAGAAGGACAATGTGTGCTCCTCCTATTTCTCTTTTGTTAATATAATAGTAGGTTATTATTTTACACAGATTTAGTGTTCAATCAATTTTACATCATAATTAATGTTTTCTGTTGTTTTTCCTGGTTTGGTATGTATAATTTCCTCCTTTTATATATTTATATTTATCATCAACTGTATTTATGTAATATGTTTTTTAGATTACTGAATGATGACACACATCAAGTGTCGAAACGTTTAATGGAATAAATAATTTTGTTATTTAATCTTTTTTTTAATTCGACGGCTGGGCTGTTTAATGTTTAATATGAACAAATGTTTAATATGAACAAAACAGCACCCAGATTTTTTTAATATAACTTTATTTTAAGATTACAAACGTTTCGAGACCATGGTGTGCCTCACCTTCAGTGTAATTTCAATAACAGTTACTTATTACTAAACATTATTTAATATTTTATTTAAAACTATATTTTGACTTTTTAATATAAAACACCAACTATTCATTGCATTGGCAAGTGACCATTGTTTCATTCAATGCTTGATACGGTAGTGACTGACATGTGACATTTACAGAATTATTCGAAACAAATCTGAAGTATCTAACAGAGACAGGATGGGTAACATTAAAATGTAAACAATAGGAAAGCGCTCGCATACAAATCGCATATATATATATATATATATATATATATATATTATATATATATATATATATATTATCTATAATATATATATATATATATATTATATATATATATATTGATGAGTATTTTAGAATCGGGCAGTAACACCAAGTAAAAAAACTAAAGTAGTTTTGAAATACTTTATTTATCCATACGTTTCGGTCTTCATCGAGACCGTCATTCAGTGGAAAAAACTAAAAGATTTTATATGATGTAGGAGGAAAATAATATAAAGTTATAGAACTTATATATAAATACTTACAGAAATTAATTATACAAAAATACACTACACTATTACACTGTGATAAACCAAGCTATTAATAACTGGAACATTTAAACTAATTAGTTTTTGAGAATTTTTGGTTACATTCTAGTGTGTACAAATTGACTAACGTCTAAATACTGAATGAATAGTGTTTACAAATTTTGCGAAAGTGTAAAAAGACCGGCAAACATATGTTTTTAGTAAAATAATAAAATTATAAAATACACGCTTCATTCAGATATGGTGGTGTTTTGGAAATGGTCAAGGATTATTTTATAGTCATTGCAAAGCGAATTGTTGTCAGTTCTTAAATTTATGGCCGTCTCCTTGTGTAAAGATATTAGGCATCCTTCGCTAAATCTTCTTTTAAATAAATTATTTTCGAAGTGTAGGATCGTGGGATTGGAAAAATCAATGTTATGTTTGAGCTGATTAATGTGATCCGTTAGTTGTGTTTTATTCTGGTTCTCATTTTTAGAGTTGTTTTTGTGTTGTGTGTGTTCTTTCGTGCAAGTTTTGACTGGTTTCACCTAAGTAGACACAATTACAATCTAGGCAATTAAGCTTATAAACTAGATTACTTAGGACTCTTGGGTTAAATTTCGATTTTAATTTTGTAAAAAAGAGTTGAAAAAGTGTTTTCGGAAGTAAAAACTACTCTAATATTATTTTTACTGAAAAGTTTTCTCCACGGGTAATGTAATTCTTTAATGAAAGGTAAACTTATAGTTCCGACGTAGTTTTCAAGGTTTGGATTTTCAATTGAATTATTGTGATGGTTTTGGAGATATAGGATTCTATTTTTTGTTATGGATTGGATGAGGTGTTTGTGGGTAGGAGTTTTTGGTTAGGATTTGTGAAATGAGAGATAGATTCTTTCTTAAAAATTTACTGTGTGATAATAATAATGCGTGGTCTATTAAGTTTGTGATTGTGCCTATTTTGATAGAGAGGGGGTGGTAAGAATGGTAATTAAGATAACGGCCTGAGTATGTTGGTTTGTGATACCAATCAGTTATTATATTATTATTTTCGCGAAAGAGTTGGACATCTGTATATATATATATATATATATATATATATATATATATATATAATAGAATTTTATTATATGAGTGGTACGAATATTAAATGCTTAATATGAACAAAACAGCACCCAGATTTTTTTAACACAACTTTATTTTAAGATTACGACCGTTTCGAGACTATGGTGTGCCTCACCTTCAGTGTAATTTCAATAACAGTTACTTATTACTAAACATTCTTTAATATTTTATTTAAAACTATATTTTGACTTTTTAATATAAAACACCAACTATTCATTGCATTGGCAAGTGACAATTGTTTCATTCAATGCTTGATACGGTACTGACTGACATGTGACATTTACAGAATTATTCGAAACAAATCTGAAGTATCTAACGGAGACAGGATGGGTAACATTAAAATGTAAACAATAGGAAAGCGCTCGCATACAAATCGCATATATATACTATATATATATATATATATATATATATATATATATATAGATATATATATATATATATATATATATTTTATATATATATATATATATATATATTGATGAGTATTTTAGAATCGGGCAGTAACACCAAGTAAACTAGTTGGTTTGGTATTTAGCCTTGAGGCAAGTTACATTAACTTCCCGATATGTGTAAATAATCGACTTAATCAA